AAAAAAAAAAAAAAAAAAAAACCTCCTCTTAGCTTTTCCATATTGAAATTGTGCACTAAACAAAGATTTATTTTCTTGTTAAGAGCTGAGTGGAGAAACTAAATACATCTCCCATAACAGTAAATGCCGAGGAAATAAAATTTTCAGTGGTTCCGAAATGCCATTTGGCAGGAAAACAGGCTTTGGAAGATTAGACACCACTGGCTTCCTTCACGGCTAGTAAACACAGCTGGTTTAGCACTTCAGGGACTATCTTCTTGGACCATATTTGAAAGTCCCTCATTCTCCCTTACCAAGGTCTCTATTTAGGATAACACTATGAGCCTACTCATTTTATTATCACTCTCTTTTGATGTCTTTCGAAAAAGAAATGGATTCCAAATAGTTTTATATTAAAGTACCACATAGAGTCCCACGAGAAGAGTCCCACCTCTTGGTATTTTTGAGCCCTAGCTTTCTGGTAAAAATACAGATATTAGTATAAGGCAAAAGGAAAAACACTAGCAAACACAGTGGATTCTACCTGAAGGTGTTGAGATGTTTTGAAGAGAAGGCAAGCTGTACTATGGTTCACAGCACCAGAGAAATCTTACCTGCCAAGCCTTCTCCACTTTAAAACCGCACACTTTCAAAGCTGTTATATTACCAGTGCCAAGTTCTTTACTGGTTACTTTCAAAGTTCTAGAATACAAATCATTCATCATTTCTAGGCACCCAGATGATGAAACAATCCATGGCCCACCAACGATCATGGAAGTATCAAAGCATACTTTAGTCAATGTGAAGTTGCTCACCATTGTATCATTCCTATAGTAAATGGTCTTAAACTAAGGAAAAGGAAAATTAAAAGAATCAACCCCAGGTTAATGGTACCAGTAAGAAGAGTCCTACCTCTTAGAATTTTTGAGTCCTAGCTTTCAGCTGTATTGTTTTTTCTGTAGTATGAAAAATCCAGGGTCATCTTATTTTCCCCACTGCCACATACTTAAACCCAAAGAATCCGTATCCAGATGGAAAAACAGGTTTCAAAAGGGCATATTCTTTTACAACTGATTTCGACAGTTGCCTTAAGTCTGTTTTGCGTGTGTGGAAACACTTATTTGTCAAGATAAAATAGGCACTTCTAGGAATGTTGGCTTTATTGCCTACTAAGTAAAGAGGCTAGAAATACTTAAAGTATGTTAACAACGTCTGTGTCAAATTTATGAACTTTAGTACTTTTTCTGCAATAAATCTAATGAAGTGGAACTTTGGGCAACCTGAATTAGCTCTGCATGTGTTTTTCGGATGTTATGATTATTTAGTACAAAACTATTTCAACCCTTTACACAGTGTGTTTAGTTTGAGGTTGGAATAATACATTCCTACTGAAGAGATAGTTACCATGTCAAAAAAGTTAACGACTCTAAGAAAAAGGCTTATTTATAAATGAGAATGCCAAGATAGGCAGAGGTTAAGAGGTTCCTAAAGTCAGAAAATACCTGGATTTGTAGGCTTTGTCTGATAAGGAGTATAAGCCACAGTTTAGCTTTGATTTCACGAGGAGAGAGAAGCTTTGCACTTTCGTTTGGTTAGAAATGATAAGAGCACAGAAAAAAATGAAGATGGCCTTTTACCTCTTCTCTTGGCCTCTCTCTAATCTTACTGAACTACATGTACTTAGGCAGTCACCTTTTAGGGAGTCATTTTTTTTATCCCCTTAGCAGTATCTAAGTACCTGATATAGGAAGCCTTTTAACCTTCCAAAACTTCCAGATATGTTTGCCTTGACCTAATGCTGTTATCTGGAAAAGGGCATGTCATCAATCATTAAACGAAACATTTGATATTTGACACGTGCTACTTCCCTTCCTGCCTATCTTTCTTTGTCAAGGGCATGACATCTGCCCTCAGACGGCTCTTTAACTATTATAATGCCGTCATCTGTACTCAGCAGTGAGATTCCTCTATCACAGGAAATTTTGCAAACACACTAGGAGCCCAGGATATGTAAACTCAGAACCTTGTATACTGGAGTCACATAGTGCGTGCCTGCTGATTGACAGATGGAGATAACGTTGCCACCATTAAGCTTCTAAACCTTTTATTAGATGTACTTTATGACACAGGAAACCCTGGTGGTGTAGTGGTTAAGAGCTACGGCTGCTAACCAAAAGGTTGGCAGTTCAAATCCACCAGTGCTCCTTGGAAACTCTATGGGGCAGTTCTACTCTGTCCTATCGGGTTGCTATGAGTCAGAATTGCCTCGACAGCAATGGGTTTTGGTTTGTTTGTAACACAGATTTCTGTTTTAGAAAATCAGGGGACAGCTCATGTGACCCTAAGGTGCAGAACTCTAACCTCCAGTCCTTTACAGACTTAGCGGGTTAGGGTAGAGTTAGAAACATGACTGGGTGATCACATTTTGGATCTTTATTCCTAACATGGTTGCCTGACTTTGTTTCTACGCCTGCTTCAAAAGACACATCATTCTTCACTTAACAGACGAACTTCCTCTTTCAGAAAATTCCTGAACTACATCCAACATGCTAGGAAGTACTCAAATAAACCTTGGAATCTCGATAAACAGTTTTGCTTTTCAATTCAATCATGTACGTATACGAGTAATATAACATTGTCCCATTTGTTGTTTTATTTTTTTCTTACTATAAGCCACTCATTCCAAAGCCAAAAAAAAAAAAACAAACCTATTGCCATCAAGTCGATTCCAACCCATAGCGGCCCTACAGGACAGAGTAGAACTGCCCCATAGGGTTTCCAAGGAGTGCCTCTCGGATTCAAACTGCTGACCTTTTGGTTAGCAGCCGTAGCACTTAACCACTACACCACCAGGGTTTCCAGCCGCTCATTAGAGAAGATTCAATTTGCATTTAATGAGTCTTGTTTGTGTTTTTATATGTATTTTCTCATGTATTGCTTGCTAATGTTCATTTTTCCCCTGGTGTCCAAGGGGCTCAAAATAATAATGCTTAAGGAAAAGTGATTATTATGACTAGGTAGCATTTTTCTAACTATGTGCTTCTTTCCCTGGGTGGTAGAATGTACAGTGTAAACAATGAACAGCCACCGAAATGGAAAAAAAAAATCAGGTTATTTCTGGTCTGTTAATTGCTAAGTTCAACATACCCGTACATTAGTCACTCCACATATAAATAGTGGCTTCTAAAGAAAGGGTATATTGCTTTCCTGAGAACATTCAACAAATGGAAGGAAGCCTTAGCTGATGACTAGGACACTTGTGTAGAAGACATGCTACTACACCTGGAGGTGTCGTCAGACATTTGGGAATAAATATCTAAATAGCTGCAATGAGACGGAGTTCGTGAGTCATGGCTGAGAAGTAGTATTTCATAGAAAATCAGAAAGTGTTTTTCCCCTCAAAAACAGCACGTGTACAGAATGAGTCAATGTAATAACAATGTAATAAGTTCACTTGTACACTGCTCTTAGGGAAAAAAAACATAAATCTCTTTTGGGTCACTGATACACAAGTAACACTGTCTTAGATTATATGTGGCATCAGGAAGGTTAGATATAGATTATTAAACTAAAAATTAGGTGCCACTGACATTCCACCAGGCCACATTCTAGTCTAGTACTATTTTGTCCATTTATGAAACTTTTCTTAATGTTGCACATTCTGTCTTTCCTACAGGGAAAAGCGCTTCCGACCCAGCAGCAATTAAACATGTGTTTTTAGTTCCTCTAGTTGCGGTGAAGTAGTAGGTGGTCATTTGATGGTCATTAAAAGTACAAAACATTCAGTTTCACCCTTAACCAAATCTTCTGACTACCATTTTTCAGCTATTTTAAGAAGCCAATCCCGGTTGGATCACTCCTCTCTCACCCCACCCTTGCATTTTCCATCCTGGCCCTGAGAACAGATTGACAGGTGTGTGTAGCCCACGGGGCAGTGGCTGGGAAAGGGAATTAACACCTGGATGGATATGGCAAAAGATCTTACTGCCCTCCCCCCCCCCCACCTATTCCTCAACTTAAAGGCCAAAGGATGAAGGAACTGAATCTATATAATTTTGCAGATTGAAAGTGTTCAATAACAAAAGCATAAATTTTTGTCCTTGAAATTTCTTCTCAGTATGTGGAGGGACACTAAAAACAGATTTTGATTCAGTTACCAGAGCCTGTATTCTGTCTATACAAAACCTATTTCAGGGCAACACTGATTTTCTTTCCGTGAGGCTTTGATGGACCTATGACCCTAACGCAGTACAAAATGGTATTTTCTGATTTTAAAAATCATCTAAAAGTTGTCAATAATTTCTCTAATTTTAACCACAGTTATAGCCTCTAGATAAGCAAGAATAACATAAGGATTTGGTGCAATTTAAAACTCAAGGTTGAGTATGCTATAAATATGTCACCTTTCAAATATATTTCCCTATTCTGCCACTTAATGAGTAAATAAAATGGGGCGTTACTCTACCAGTTAACATGCATTCAAGGTACATTAGAACAACTGGTACTGAATAGTTTGCCTACACCCAGAGAATGTGTACGTTGGCTGATAATCACAATCTCAGGCACCTAGTACCATGTTTGTAAAATGGCTCCAGAGGGTGGGGTGGGGTAGGGGGGGACCCAGACAGCTTTTGAACACTTGGGAACAAGGAAGACAATGCATATTAATTCATTAAAGCAGGGAATTCCATTGCAGCATGTTTGCTTCAAAACACCAAAAGAGAAATTTCCAAAAGTATTTCAACGGTTTGAAATGGGACAGAGAGTTATAAATTTTCAGAAAGAAATTTTCCAAAAACCTGTCACCAATACTGACTTTGTCCCTTTCACTGAAAGCTGAAAGCTAAGAGTCAGGACAAAGTGCTCGGTTTCTACCCAACTGTCTTATTTACCAGCTCAAAGAAAGGGAACCATCACTTAGGCAGAGGGTAAGAGAGCAACAGTGCCGTTCACGGCTTCAGTGGAGAGACAGGCAGCAGGCTGACTTCAGAGAACTGGGCTTTCTCGGAAAATCTCCCTGTCCTTCAGCCCCTGTTCCACGGGTTTCTTGTCGATGGCCAAAGGGCTTTCTTAACGTCAGGTTACAAAACAAGAGGAAGACTTCCATAGTAATAATGGTCTCCAGTGTCTGAATCTTTGCCTCTTTTTCTGTTAAGAACAATTCTGTTTCTTCAGGAAGATTAAAAACATTGTTCAGAAAGGGGAAGATAGGTAAGTCATTATGGACTTTTAGTCAGAAACACTTCCCTTTCTACCTCGATATTCAATTTATCTCCTTCCAAACACCTTAAAGGAGATTTAAAGCAATGTCCAGATGAAGGATTGTATTTTATAAATAACCAAAAATTCCTAACCAAAACAAACTCTCTTTCCTCACACTATTTCTTATAGTGTCATAAGCTGTCCTGGAAAATGCAAAAATATATTAATATTTTATGTATTACTTTTTTTAAAAAAGTTAAACCATTCAAACTGCTAATTTTACTTGAATAAGAATAATCTTATCTTTGAACTAGTACTAGAAGGCAAGAACAAAATAGAAAAACTATGACTGACTGACTTAGATGCAATTAAATTCATTAACCAAAGATTACCTTTTTGTCAAAGGATGGATTCACTGTCCTAATAAAACTGTGCCCAATATAAGATCAAGAACAGTTAAGTTTTTACCTGAGTGTCTATGAGAAGCCATTGCTCAGAGGCCAAGTTCAGGAGCAGCACCTAGACCAGTCTTCCCTCAACCCCAGCTGATAAGGCTGTGGCCCATTTGTGAACATACATTTAAGGGGAAGCAGCTAACACAAAAATAACCGAGAGCAGATGTCCCAACCCTCCCCAGAGATCACAACCTTAATCCCACTAGAAAATTCTTAACCATTTTAGGTGATCCAAGGGAGAAGAATAGGATCCAGTAAAAATACCAAACACTACATATAAATACCTGCGGGGCTACTCAGCATCCAAATTAGCTCCAGAGCCAGAGAGGCCACACAGAAAGTCATCCCTGTACCGGAATAAAATTTGGACTCTGCTCTGGCATAGCTGAATGCTGAGCCAACCTTATTAATCCACTTTCTAGGCCTAACGAGCTTGCATTTGGCCCTATAAATAACTCATTTTTGTGCTGTTAACGATAAAAGTAACTACAATAGATAGATTTGTGTTACCAGTACAATTAAAGGGGATTAGACACTATGACTATAGAGATTAAAGGCATTATAGATGCTTAACTCTTCCTCCTTGGTATGTACCAGAGATCAGCAGAATACTGAAAAGGGGAACAATTCTTTCTACAGTGTCAGACAGAATAGAACAGGATGGAGACATACGTGCATATACCCGCTATGTACCCAATGAACATACTTTGTCCCAAAGGCAAACAAAATATCCTGCTTTTCACTGTCAGGGACAATGAAAGTAATTATATGAATGCAAATGAAGACAACACTCAATAGGCCATCAGATGGCTGGAGACTGGTTATCTGGAACCAGTTTCAGGAAAAGCCAAAGTCCTTAGGATGCCCTGTAAGTCGTTCCATGACCCCTCCCCCTCCCATCACTACTCTTGTCTCATCCCTTGTCCCCCCTTGTCCTGTCTCCCTTTGCTCCAGCCTCACTGGCCTCCTTGGATACACCCTCACCTCAAGGTCAACACTGATTCCCTTGGCATAGATCCTCTCACTGTTGCTCCTTTACTTCCTTCAAATCTTTGTGCCAACTCACCTATTCAGTGGAGTCTTCTTTGACCACTGTTGCTCCTTTACTTCCTTCAAATCTTTGTGCCAACTCACCTATTCAGTGGAGTCTTCTTTGACCACCCCATTTAAAACTGCAACCATGCTCCCTTCAACACACTCTTCCTATCCCCCTTCCCCAATGTGTTGTTCTCCACAGTACTTGGGACCTTCTAACCTAGTACATAAAGAGCCCTGGTGGCACAATGGTTATGTGCTTGGCTGCTAACCGAAAGGTTGGCAGTTTGAACCCACCCAGCAGCTCCATGGAAGAAAGACTTGGCTATCTGCGCCCATAAAGATCACAGACAAGAACAACCCTATGGGGCAGTTCTACTCTGTCACATGGGGTAGCTATGAGTCGGAATTGACTAATTGGCACCTAACAACAACAACCACCACCTACTATATATTACACCTATTTACCTGCCCCGTCGTCCGATTCTCCCTTTTGCTCCATGATGACAAGGATTTGGTGGTGACGTTCGCTGCGATGGCCCCAGCACCTAGAACTCTGCCCAGCTCCCAGGAGACTCTCAATAACTATTTGTTGAAAAATGAATGAAAAGTAGTAAAAAAATGTTAATCAAGCCTTATTTAAAAGCAAGCCATGGTCCCACCTGGAATCCTAAAAGCAGCATTGGTCACTGAACTTCAAGGCAGGCAGCTAGCCTACACTCTGAGACTGGCCCAGGCTCAACACTGCCTTAATAGTGTCTGCCATTGGTTTGGAAACCCTGGTGGCATAGTGGTTAAGACCTACGGCCGCTAACCAAAAGGTTGGCAGTTTGAATCCACCAGGTGCTCCCTGGAAACTCTATGGGGCAGTTCTACTCTGTCCTATAGGGTTGCTGTGAGTCGGAAACGACTCGACGGAAACGGGTTTGGTTTTTACAGGTCGTTGGTTTGGGCCCTGTTCACACATCTCCCCTACCAGACCAAGGGCCGAGGCGGTGCTTGCTTGTCTTCATCGTCCTCCGGCATATAGTAGGGAAGAATGAATAAGTGCTTCACAAACAACTGAATGAATGAGTTTCACAATTCTTACGCTCTTCAAATGTTTAATGAAAAGTTAGTTCTAAAAGAGAGCCGAAATTGTCGGTAACACCTGGTCAGCAGGAAAATGACATAACAATAAAAACCAGGATGTTACAGGCAAGTTTATTACATGTTAAGGTCAAAAAATAAGCCTGGGAAAAGGGAAGTGACACTGTGCTCCGCCCGCCACTCCCCCCTACCTCCCCCCATGCTTTTCTAACTTTCTTATTCAGGCCAGTAAATTATGGAAGGGAGACTGGCCAGTTTTGACAGTACCACACCCCTAAAATAAACCTGAACTTTCACCTAGGGGAAATGCTATTATTTTATTATATGATTAACCTTCATGGACCTTAAGTTTTAGACTTTAGTGAGATATATTTTTAGGTAGAGACAATGTATTTTTAAATGCCCCTCTTGTTGTACTGTGAACAATCAGCTTAGTGTGCCAAATCCTTTCCCTTTAGGGAGTTAATCCTAGTTTCCGGCCATGCATCGGGGGTAGATTCTTTCAGCAAGTATAGGTGCTCCTTTAGGTGCCTGCTCATTTTGAAAAGTGACAAGAGAATTCGGACAGACGTATAGCCTTATGAGGTTAGCAATAAACCTAAATCTATTTTGTCTGAAATACTGCTACAAAAACTTACTTTCTAATCACGTATTAAGCAGTCAAGTAAGGCATGCCAGTGAGAGCTGGGAATCTGACCCTGCAAGAACAGCATTGATTCCACCTGCAATTTACATCAACCAGATAACTCTGCCTTCCTAAAAACCTCATAAAGCATGACTACTGCCTGCTCTAACATTTGGTCCCACTGCCCGTTTCCTCAAGTCATAAAACCACACCTTTCGCAAAACCAAGAGAGAAAAAGCCCTTTGCAAAGTGAAGAAACAATTTCTCAGCAAGAAAAGTTGATAACTTTGACCTGTCTTAGATCAGTGGTTCAGAAATCTTGGCAGTTATTTTAGTAGATAGTAAAAACTCGAACAACCACTGGTTTCATTGGCATCTGTGCCAACTCTGTTACACATTAACAGTGCAATGTTTAATAATATTCTTACTAACCACTGTACTGTTTGCAAAGCCCTTTGATAAACTGTTGGTGGAGCTGGCTGGTGTTTGGTGAACAATTCTCTTTAGTGTTTGAAGGCCACGTTTCAGGCCTTTTAGTCTCCCATGCTCTAGCATACATCAGAATTTCAGTGAGTGCTAAGCATCAAAAAAGGAGGCAGTGGTGGCTCAGTGGTAGAATTTTTGCCTTCCATGTGGGAGACCGGGGTTCCATTTCTGGCCAATGCACCTTATATGCAGTCAACATTCATCTGCAAGTGGAAGCTTGCATGTTGCTGTGATGCTCAATAAGTTTCAGACGAGCTTCCAGACTAAGGTGGACTAGAAGAAAGGTCTGGAGATCTACTTCTGAAAGTCAGTCAGTGAAAACCCTATGGATCACAACATCCATTGTGCATGGGGTCACCATGAATCGAGGGCTGACTCCGCAGCAGCTAACAACATCAACAAGGCATCAAAAACCCTCAGCTCCTTCTTACATGGGATCCTTTGAGAACCATTTACTTCAGAGTTTACACATCCTTGTCTTCTAACTACTCTGCAGAAGCATTACAACATATATTTGTGGTCCACCCGTAGATGACACCACCCCACCCACTGATTTATATTATATGACAAAGATTTATTGAACAGATGTTCTACTATGTGCAAGATATTTTGGTGGTCACAAAGAATAAGATACAGCTCTTTCAAGTTTACCAAGATAAATACACAAATGACTATCATGCAAGGCAGAACATAGCAAGTATTACAAAAGAGATCCAAAGTGTTATTAAGATTTATCAGAAAGAGAGATCATATCAGCTTTGGGGGAGATCAGAAAAGACTTCATGGATGTGAAGGCATTTGACGTGGTCCCTGGAGAGTAGTTAAGACTGTAATATACAGACCAGCGGGAGTGGACAGTCCAAGAAAAAGGAACGGTGTGAGCAAAGGGATGGAGAAGAACACAGTGCCTGCTCAAGAAGCAGCACGCAGCCCAGTGGGGGCAGAAGCATAGGATAAGGAAGTAGTGTGACATAAAGCCAGAAAGGAAGGGACGGCTGGAGCATGGAGGGCCTTTCTGCAATGGTGTGAGGGAAGGGGGAGGTTGGAGCAAGGCAAAAAGTGACATGAAGGCTGTATCACAGAGGAAGAGTCTGGAAGCAGGGACAAGCTCAGAATGGCACTGCATCCACCCAGATGAGCCCTAAGGAAGGACTGAATGAGAGAGGTAGTGGTATAAGGGAAGGAACAGATACAAGGGACACTGTGGACAGGACTAAAAGGCCTGATGAGATGTCCAGAAGAAGAAGGAGCTAGAGAGCCCTCAGAGGTTTTGCTTCTGGGTGACCAGGAAATTAATGGGGAATTGGAGGGGCAGAGTTGGTGTGGAGACGAGTGGAACTTTATTTGGGGCTTTATAATGAGGCTCTTCCAATATGTCAAGAACTAACCCTGGTGCCCCACCTTCAGTGGGATCCAAGTTGTCGAGCTGAGAGAGAAACAGGGCTAATGGTAAGAATACCACAGAATCACATTTGTGGGGAATCTCACAATGCAATCTAATCCTAGACTCTCTACCTCAGAAACACCACTGGGAGGATCAAACTTCCAAAGTACAAAGTGGTGCAAACTAAGAGTCAAACAGCAAATTTGGTGACCCACTTGGCCCCCGTCTCAGGAGTTCCTAGTTCATAGCTTGGTTTGTGGTCACCCAAATCTCCCTTTCCTACATTTTTCTTCCACTGAAGAAATTTTCAAATGGCTGAAACTTAAGACGATTACTGGCCATTAGTCATGGCCAGAGATGAGAAGATGACAACAACCTGGGGGGGTCTTTGTGGATTTATCAGTAGTGTCATCTTAATATCTTTTTTTACATTATTCTTCTTCTCCTCATGCCTACTAGTAACAAATTGATACACTCCAAGTTTGTTTTCAATATAATTTTGTCAGGCTCCCAGTCTGTCAGTCAACAAAATTTCTACTGAGTGACTCCAACTGCAAGGTTAGGGCATCTAGTCATGCACTATGATACGATGTGATTCAATGTTGAGCTCTCCGGAGTATTTCTTGTCCTATGTGCTCTTGCCAGAAAAAGTCCAGTACAGCTTCTGTCATCTCATGTTCCTGTCAATCTTTAGGGCGGGAAGAGTACTTTTTCCTACTGACAAGTCAAATTTTGCAGAGTCACTGGTTAAATGTCACAATTTGT